GTAGAACTTCGGAGACATCATTAATATAAATAATTTTAATCGCCGTTGAATAAGAAATGTTTCTTTCACAAGAAATGTATAAAATTACAGTACTGTATTAGACTTACGGTACCTAATTTACATACTGACAGACGATAGTTAGCGTAAAAATCTCCGTAGCGTGGCGCCACGCTAGACGGCGGAAATTATATATTTAATTATAACAAAGTTACAATAAGTTAATATATAATTATATATACAGTACCTAATTTATATATAATTAATATATAATTATATGTACAGTACCTAATTTATATATAATTTATATAATACTGTCCAGACGATAGAAATCTCTCTGTAGCGTGGCGCTACGGACGGCGGGAAAGTAGTTCGGCTGCCCGATGACGTTTGAGGTGTTTATAGGGAACTTTTACTATTTTTTACAGATACCGGTAGAAATTTTTTCGTAGTTTTATAGGAATCGTAATTATAGGGGGGGTCGACTGTATTTTACTTTATTAATCTCGTCCCTTTTGGAATGAGGTTAACAGCACCAATAAAATAAAGAGAGTATGGAGTGAATGGAGAAAAAGTGAACGGAGGAGTTATTTTATGGTCTCCAATTTTCTTTGTCTTGTTCAACCTACACTTGACCTTATGACTACGACTGCAAAATAATATGATATATATATACATACATATATATACAAGTGTACCAGAATGCCTTTTTAAAAATTTGGGATTGTAGAGGATGAAATTTTGAATGTTTTGATATAAGGAACCTATAGCCAGAAATGTGATATAAAGTTTCTACACACTTTGCATGTTCTATGCAGTCTGTATGCTGAATGAAACAGCAGAATACAGTATTTATGACAAGTTGTACTGACAAAACATTTACTCTAAAGTAATGCAGCCACTGATTTGATGTACAGTTTGATTGTACTCTACTGTTTTGCCAATAAAACTTGTCAAAAATACTGTATTCTGCTGTTTCATTCAGCACACGTTCTATGCGGTCAGTATGACCTCATAGAACGTGTAAAGTGCTGTAGAAACTTTGCATCACATTTCCGGCTATAGGTTCCTTGTATCAAAATGTTCAAAATTTCATCTTCTACAATCGCTCAAAGTTTTAAAATGTCATTCTGATACACCCTGTATATATTTGAACAAAGTTTATTACATAATTTTTTTATGATTTAAAAAAGTAACTTAGCATGCAATTAGTAATGTAAATTACAAATTTATGCTGATTGAAAGATCTTGGAAAAGGGCATTCAAAAACAATCTGTTAGCCCAGGGGTCGGCAACCTATGGCATGCATGCCAAATGTGGCACGCTGGACGATTTTCAGTGGCACTCCGATTGAATAGAAATGTAGTAAAAATTATAAAATTATATTTTAATTATTAATTACACATTTAAATGGAAGTCTTGGTTCAGCAAAGGCAGTGGCATATTAAAAACAAATCTGTTGTTTGTATATTTCTATTACAGCACATGCGTTTACACCTCATGTTGTCATCTATGTGTTATGCAAGCACTTCACAATGTAAGAACAAAATTCAATTAACAAAACTTCAAATGTATAATTTTGAAGTTAAGTTCAAAATTATACATTTTGAAGTCCGTTATAATCAGACTAATTTTGATAACATATATAATAAACTTGGTAAAATCATGTCGGCACTCAGAATAACACTATAACTTATGTTTGACACAACACCGCTGAATGGTTACCAACCTGTGTTAGCCATTTTGAGTAAATATAAGTATTGGATCATAAACATTTTAAAGTTATTTTCAAATGAGTTAGAATTCTTTGTAAATTTCAGGACTGGTTTTGTTATTTTTATGATTTTATGATTGAATTTTACTTATATCACCTAATAAACTCAAAAAATTCAAAGTATTACAAGTTTTGTTTTAACTGTTTTGTCTATATTAAAGTAATATTTACATTTCACTTGAAATTTAGACTGCATCCTGACTCATTTTTAAATCTGTTAATACATACATAAATAAACCTTTCGTATTGTTTAAAAATGTAAGAATAATCGGGATGCTACCTGTGGGTTCACGAACGGGATTGTATTCCAGAGCATTGTCGCAGATGCGATCAATATCTTCTAGAAAATGGCCAACCGTTTCATAATGGTAATGATCAATCTTTGTCATCATTGTTTCAAAGTCCATTGGGTTTTTAATAACTTCCAAATAATCAGGTACCTGAAAAATATTATTTTGTGCATTAANGTACCATCTCTTGATAAATTTAATAATTATAATTTAATTAAATAATTTAAATAATTTTAGAATTACTGGAAGAAAAGAATTGGCCCGAAGCGGGACTCGAACCCGCAACTCCTGTATACTGTGAAGATGCATTGCCAATTACACTACCCAGACCTTCAATCCAATCTCCTCTTCCAACATATATAAGCTAACGATATAACCATCAACGGTTATTACAATGCTGACTGGGGATGCATTCAGCACCCATGATGTGCAAACAACTCCCAAGGCACTCAACCGGCCATCACAAACCCCAGCAAGGCATATATATATATATATAATCAAAAATCATTACTAACGATATAACCATCAACATATTGAGTATAGTAATGATGTTTGATTATCTGGTATAATAAGCTCTTCTGTGATGGTGTGAGGTTTTTTGCACTTTGCAACTCTGTATGTGATCTTAAAAGATGCTAGCAGTGCATTGCTTGGTACTGAGGCTTGTTTAGTAAACAATTTTTTTTCCTTTTGTAAATCTTGCAACTTCCTACTAGAATTCGCAAGATTTTTCAACCATGTTAGAGTAATTGGTCTCGATATGTCGCTTTAGCTTACTTGGGAGCATACACTCGTACCCTAGAACTTTTAAACAGAGCACACACTGCAGTCTCTCTTCATTGTTTACTTCTACTGAAGTAAAGCCAAAATTCAAATAGTTATAATCATATTTACAATATTTCCATTTCTTTGCTACCCCACCACTTGTTGATGCTTGATCACTCTCACTTGAACTGTTGACTTGCTTATTTAATAAAAATCTTTCCATTTTCCTATGACTATATGAAAATACAAAGTGACACCTGAAACAAAGCAGGTGCTCCTCTGGTAGCGGGCATCTTAAAACCATTTACTTTTCATCTCAGATGTTTACTCTTCGATTGTTATTTAGAAATTGAACTGGTTTGCCAAAGTGGTGCCATGTTTATACTAGCCACGCCACCTACTTAGAACTTTTGCAAAACTTCAACAATGTCTGATAGTATGCTATATAAGTCTTCTAGAAGTTCTATAAGCTACAGGAATGATCTAGTCTAGATAGAAATTTCCATTAGCTTTAAAGCCCTCATGGCTCCCGTTTACTCTTTATGATGCCCTGGGGTGCTGCAGCACACACTTACGTAACCCCTGCTCTAGACCAAAGAGAACTACATACTATTTTCACACTCACAATGCATTTCATAAAGTACACAAATATGAAAAAGCATGAACTCTGTTCAGTGGAAAACTTTAGAATTAGAATATTTTACTCATAATTTAAATTTAATTAAATACAGTTACTCACAGAAATAACTCACTGATAAAATATTTGGCATAACAAATCCTTTCATAAAATTCCACAAAAATTAGCAAAAGATACAAAGTAGAAAAATTTCTATAGTGCACTAGTATATGCATTAGAATAATGGAAGCTTGTCTTTGTACCAATTGTGGGTGTATCACCCATGACTGGTACAAAGACAAGCTTCCATTATTCTAATTTACACCTGAATTTATACAGTAATCACTAAAAAATACAAGAGGTGATTAAATTAATCTAACAAAAGAAATTGAAGAAGAGAGGAGCTTTTATATAGAAGCAAAAATGAAGTTAGAATTAAAAAAAAACCATAAGAAAGATCTACAAGTTGAAAGAATAATAATAATAAAAAAAATAATAATAATAATGTTAAGCTAAAAAGAATTTAAGATAGATAAGAATAGAATGGAATAAAGGAAAGTTACAGAATAAGATCAAATAAATTTTTGAAACACGCAGAAGAGCCTGGAATATATGAAAAGCTTATTATTAAATAAAGATTTTAAAAATCTTCCAGATAAGTAAATCTAGTTTTTAGATTTTTATCTAACTAGAAGCAAAAATACATTAAAAAAATTGTAAAGATGATAAAAGAATCAGAGAATAAAGATTTTACAAAGAATTTTTAAAATGTTCCAATTGTTTGTAATTTAGCATTTTAAAATATTTTATGAGATTAATTGTTCTCAAGAGTGCAATAGGCCACTGGACTTTCAAGAAAAAGTTATGATGCAGTTCTTGGAGATTTTGATAATACTGCTTGTGTGGAAAGTCCCAATATGAACCTTTATCATGCAAAGGGAAAATGTGCACTTCTCAAATGTTTTCAAGAAAATCAAAGTTAAAAAATTCTGAGCAATTTATGAGTAATTTTTGTGGAACTTTTCATTAAAGACTGTGTGGGTCAGTGCAGTGTGTCTTACTCATATTTGCAGATTAGTGGTTCACATCTCAGCAAGTGAACTTTTATTAAATCAAAGCTAAATGTCTTCAACAATGACAATTGGTCTAAAAGTCATACTTATAAATGCTGTTAAATTTGATGCTAGAGTCCTCTGATAGATTAGCACTGTTTTCAATGTTTAGAAGCACCAAATCCTATAACAGGTCAGTGTCTACATACAATTTTATTATGCAAGTATATTGTTTTTAATGGTATATTGTCAATCTCTTTTTAAATAAAGATTTTTTAGTTTTTTATCTTCAAGTTGTTATCAGTCCCTGACTGAATTAAAAAGGATTTTAAAAAAGACTGCAAATTGTATGATCTTTACTACTTAAAATATAAATAATCCTGGGTTAGTGATATTAAGGAAATAAATGGACAAAATGCATAAACCCATATAATTTACAACTGTCTTATGTAAAAATTGCATTGATTTAAAAAGAAAAGTTCCTTTGTTGAGATGCAAATAGCAATCTCACAAATATGAGTAAGAGCTACCTACTGCACACTGGAGACTTTTTGTAAAGCTAAAGACTTGACAGTGATGACTGTTTAGTCACCATTGTCAAGGTAAAGATGTGTTAACAAAATACAGGGCTCTAGAATGTAGCTTATGGGCAAAATCCTGTGGTGCAGTAATGCATTCTGTATCCAGTATGTGCTCCGACATGGCTGTCCTGTATATGGCTCGTTTCATCAACACTATATCCTTTGATTTATCAGCCCTAGCAGCCACTATATCATTATTTTGGAAACATGCATATCCAAGCAAGACCAAATGCATAAAGAATTTTATCATTGGTAAACAGCATTTTGTGTTCACAATACTACAGTTTCAAGGATGATCACGTCTTTCTGGAAAGACGTGCATGCTTCCAAACACTGGCTACAAAATAATAATATAGTGTTTGTTAAGGCTGATAAATCAAAGAATATAGTGTTGTAAGCTATACTCCACAGTCCTGTGTTAACACACCTTTAGCTGGAGTCCTACATTTGCAGAAGGCATCAATTTCAAGTCCTGCAAATCCTTGCAGCTTTGTGTTTGATAAAGTACATAAGAAAGAAACAGAAATGAGACCAGTAGTGGATAAGACTGCATCATCCACCATTTACATTGAGAGGATTCTCAACCATTTTATTTCTGAATATAATAGAAGTTGGAATGAGGCCAGCACTATATAACAAAACATTGAAAGAACATGAAAAAGAGAGTCAATCTGGAAAATAATCAAATAATATCATGAAAACCACCTTTTCACTTTCAGAAGAAATTTAATGATTGGACAAATGTTTTCAAGCTGATTTACAAATCAACCAGGTCTATCCGTACATTAACTTATTTTTTGCTCTATTTCTAGAACATTCAAATATTGAAAATTCGTTTAGGACAAATTTTAAATTTTGGAATTTTACAATTCTAAAATTTAAAAATACAGTGAGCATGCCAATAGACAATGCTCTTAAACTTTTAGCTGATAAGAATCTGGCATGAGAAAATAATTATTTCAAGGATTTTCATCCCATTAAGAGTACCAAATAAAATTACAAGAAACACTTCATGTCATTTTTCTATGTTTAGGCTATACATATCAAAATTTTTTCACTACTGTACTATATTTTATATTGTGAATTTAGAAAATTTTTTACTTTTCAATTTTAAACTGGCTTACGATAATTTTCAGATTATTAACATATGAGAAGAATCAAGCAACTCTCAATTTCTCTATCTTCTGACAGCTATCCAGCACTCGGAACTTTCTGATTCATCTTAATATAAGGATCTCTCTCCAAGTTTACAAATACCATTAATAAAACTAGTAAATAGCCACAATTATAATTACATTTAATATTTACAAAAAAATTCTTTAAAAAATTTTCACAATATATTTACAAATACCAGTATGGACTACAGAGGGAACTGATGCCAATATTAAGATGTCTAATCAAAGGAATGCCACTATCTGCTGTACAGATATATTTTATTGAATTTTTATTAATAATGAGAAAAATTAAAGGAGAATTTGTTATATTTTAAGTCACAAAGTCTAAATTAACTAAGGGTAATGCATATTATAAAGATGTAGTAATTACAGATGATAGGAATATAGAAAATGCAATATGTGAATGTACAGCAGGTAAAGGGTCTAAAGCAGGGTTGTCCAACCTTTTTTCCTAATGGGCCAAATTAGAAATTTAGGTATATTCAGCAGCCACAATGGTACTTTATATAAATATATACTTTTAAAAAGTTCAAAATGTGAATATGAAATTTAATTAGAAAATATTAGAATATATAATTAGAAAAAATACTATATTATTGACAATGAAAAAAAAATTACACTCACATAGAATAAAAATAAATTCAGTGCGATTTTTGACATTGCCTTCCTTTTATAACAATGTCAATATCTGATTTTATGATACTAGTCTTAATTCTAGGAATGTTAGTTAAATGGGAATGACTCAACCTATTTCTTTCAGCAGTTTTGATGTTTTTAATGCTTGAAAAGAATTGTTTATAACAATATGTACTACCTCACATGCATAACAGTTCTCTAGATAAAACAGTTTTCTAACACCAATTATGTCACTATGACATCAAAGTGTAACCAGTTTTTTAACTGCAATTAATTAATACTCAAGCATTGACACATAAAAACCTTTATAATGCAGCCTTTTAAT